TGCCACTGTAGAAAACTGCATATGTATGAAAAGTAAATTAGTGCCTTTAGATTTGCTTATTTTGTGTAGCTCTTTTTGAGAGGGGGGAATAAATCTTCCAATTCTATTGAAATTGCAATGACGTTTTTCTTATTTACATGTACACTCCGGGAAAAAAAGGGGGGAAAGTTCTATATCTCTCGTTCTACTGGGCCGATCAAAGAAATTCAACTTGCCTTTTTCATGTCTCAAATTCTGTTCCTGCAGAATTTCTTTCTAAACATAATTATAACACAAATTTGTGAATAAAATCAACTTTATAAAATTTATCAGATAGCATTAAATATTTTACCCTAATAATAGTTGGACATATTTGTGTGTGTGTGTGTATTTAATTATGGCAAAGCACACGAGGGCTATCTGCCTAAAGGGAGGGATGCCTTTCGTGGAGGACTTTCTAAGGGAAACTGGCTCGTATACACGTTACACATGGGGAAACCACGAAAACGCCCATGCAGCCAGCCCGTTCGCGGGATTCGAACCTCAGACCGAACTACCAGTGTTCAGCGTCTTTACCGCTCGGCCGCTGGTGGGCGTTGGACATATTTGAAAGAAGATTAGTGACATTTTATTTACGTATTATCAATTTAGCTTTATGTTGATATTTTTCTTATTTGTATCATTTTGTCACATACTTGCTGAATCTACCTTCTAGATTTGTTACAGAACATTGGATGCTCTCACCACTACTGCTTGTGTAGAGAGAAGCTTGCCACCAGAACAAACCTGAAAGCCTTATCTTGGCAAGTTTTGAAAGTTAGTTGTGCTCTGGCTTGTCTGACGCAGTTTTGTTGCTTCCTGGGGGTCGGAACCCAGTTAACCCTTTGGTGTATAATCACGAGTCTTACTCATGGTAAAGAATTTGTGCCATAAACAAAAGCCACAAGTCTGACTCATGGTGAAGAATTTGTGCATAAAATGCCGCATATTATTTTTAGAACAAGCGATTGGCGTTATTCTACATCAAATATTTTTCCTTTGATAGTAACATCAATATTTTGCTTTGTTCAATTGTTTCTGAGGAAACTTTATATGATCTTTTACTTTAGTTCCCCGCAAAGCTTCATTACATTCACACGTTTCAAATATAATTTCGTATAAAGAATTAAACTCTTAACCCATCATGCAATTATTTTTGTCAACTGATCAATTGGTTATGACTACACCCTAGATGTTTTAAAATTACTTTTGTACCTAAACATTATTATTTCACAATTCCTTTCGTTACACTGAAATACATATGTTATGAAAAGTATACATTTTGTGTACATGGCTGAGGCTGAACAGAGTTGAATGGCACAGCGCACGACCGACTTTCTTGTTTACTATAGCTTGCGCAATTGGCAGATATCGTGTAGGCCAAAGGCTTTAAGGTTCCAATAAGCCACTAAAGCACCAGAGGTGATAAGCTGTTTTGTATTAAGTTTCACATTAATTTTTACATTTTTCTGCTATATCTTGTGACCACGGTAAAGATTAATGAAAGGCAGTAACTTACTTTATTATGCATAGATAATTTTTAAGGGAGACCAGTTAGTTACAAATAATTGAATTAGCTAGTTAGATAAGCTTACTTAGTCATTTTAGATTAACATGGTTACTATTAAATTTGTTTTGTTAAAAAGGCACTATTAAAATCCCAATTGATTAACGTGTCACAGTTTAAAATACATGTTATTTATGACAGATTCTTAAACGAAACATTTTGAACCAACAGTACTCAGCAAAATATTTGTGCATCTTTTTAATTTGAAGCTTTTCCAGGCATTCTGGCTATTATATCAATTTCCTTCTTTTTTTTAAGCATCTTTCCTAATTATAGGAAATTTGTTTCAATATGCAAACCAATATTCCCACTAGTTTCTGCGTGTTTTTATCGTCTAACTTGGCAATCTCTTGATAAAGTACCTATGAGGTTTTCCTTGATCTGGTAAACGTTAAATAGTCCAAAACCCGTGATAGGCATGAAGCAAATTATTGCTATGTCTAAAGGTAACTAACTACAAAGTCGGATAAAGGTTTAAAAAAAGCTATCTCTTTTTTTAAAAGATCTTGGAATATAAAAGACATGATATTATGCTAGCAAAATCAACTACAGCTTATGGTGATCCAATTAAACAATAACAGTCAAATTCAAACTAAAAATGTGGACTAGCGGTCAAAGACCAGACAATTCAATTTTAATCTAAGCTGGCTTAGAACACATAACAAATTCAAATATTGGGCAGCGATATCGCAAAGATGAATAATTACAAATTATCGCAGCTGGTTAAGAACTAACGTAAGGTGCAAGCGGTGGCCAGAAACAAATTCAGCCTTAACAACTCCAAAACCTTAGCTTAAACACTATATCTAGGTGATTTTCATTCCGGTGAGGAATTGGAAAATTATGGCAAAGGCTGAAATTATAAACAACTGCTTAATTTACATAATAATACTATATATCTTTGAAGAATAATTTCCTTTCTCTTTATGTATTCAGTTCCTTTTTTTAATATGTTTCCTCTTCATTTTAGAATTTTTGGATTTAATTAAAGATTTCTGCTATTCTAAAAAAATAAATGCAAGTAGATTTTATAGGAAAAGGTGCTGATTTTATTTCTTTAGTAATGTGAACATTCAGAATAAATATGAAATGATATACGGTAAGGGATGATGTAGCAGAATTTTTAGAATTTAGGATTCACAGAGATTGCATCAGTCGGGAAAATGCGTAGCACCAGCCCTGTGTATGATGCAAAAACTGTAGCTATGGTTTTCAGTGCATGGGAACAATTGAAGATTTTGCACCCCCTCCTGTATGCCAAGAATGAAAAGCATTTAATTCTAAAATTTTGTAACATCAATTTGGTATCCTATAGACGTTATGCCCGGAGACAGATATCCCCCCCTAGCTACGCCACTGACGATGCAATGAGACATATAAGAATAAGAGGATGCATTAATACATACAAGATAATTGTCAGTTTTCAATTTCTTTATTTATAGAAAAATTCCTTTCTATAAATGCCTGTCCATGTGATAAGATTAGAATTTTTGATAGTTTCCATGCTTGTGTCTACTGAAAAGTAGAGAAAACAATAAGATGAACATATTAAGAAAAAGACGTCTAGTATCAGAAGTAAAATATTTAAATGTTATGTTTTCATTGTTTATTAGAAAATCCTCCAAAAAGTAAAAGTTTATGTAACACAAACTTTCTGTAAAATACATCCATTACGTGTTAATATCATGAAGACATTTGTCTGGAATCTTCCTAGATATGTGCGTCTGTAAACCTTGCCTTAAAATCCTTCTAAACTTTGTAACTTGCAGTGTCTAAAGTCCTTAAAAAAATTACTCCTACCAATTCTGAAACAGCAAAAAGGGCTGAAATATTTTTTTAAAAAATCGGAGGAAAATGTATTAAATTAATTTTCTAGAGAAAAATGACATGGGAAAAACTCTAACCATGAAAAGATTACAATGAAGGCAGTTTTAATTAATTACATAGCTATTTTGCTTTTGCCAAGTATTGTTTCATTAATTGTGCTAAATCGGAAAGCTGTTATTACCTTATTTTTCAAATTCAAAATATTGTATAATAAGTTGCCGAAATTGAAAATAATGTCACTTTATATGATAGCGAAAAATAAAAATGTTTAATTTTATAATGTTTCTTGAATACAATTTCAATATATTAACATTATTTTAATAAAATTGATCAATGTTATAATATTTTTTAAAAAAGGATCGTCGAAAAATTCCCAGATTTCCGAATTAAGTTTTTTTATAGAAACTGATCTTAAAATCGCCAAATTTGAAACCGTTTAATAAAGAATTTACTTTTCCAAACGCGAAGAGATGTTTAAGAGCTCTTCATTAGAAAAAAATGAAATAATTTCGAAATGCTTATGCTTTACTTCTTTAGTATCCCACTGTTTATATTAGAAACAGGAACAAATTATAACCCATGAACCAACCTATTCATCCATTTAAAAGATAACTATATTTGTTAATGAATCGCCCAAAAAAATTTGTCCAAAATGTTAATTCACATTCAAAATGGCAGTCTTAAAAACAGACAGAAATTTCAGATGATTAAAATTAAGGACCTCCTGCCGAATTTTATAAAAATTAAAGACCAAAAATCAATTTAAAAAAATTCAGGACTCTTTAAGGACCGTACGAACCCCGATTTAGAAATAATTAAATATGAGACATATTTATTATCATCCATTATTAAAGCATTTCCAGTTCTCATATTTTTACAAATACTAACATTATTACTGCTTTAGCAGATATGAAAATACACAATATCAGAACAGGAGATGCAATGATGTCAGAATTCCTGGCTCTGAAAAATTTCACCCTACCCCAAGACTCATGGACCAGAACTAGTATTTCCCATTTGTTAGATACTCTCCAACAGATTTTATGATTAAGTAATAAATGGGATTAGTTTTAATTTATGCTCTGTATCAAAGTAGTCCATTAACAAAGTAAATTTTAAAAAAGTTAAATCAAAGTATTTGGCATATCCTATATCACTTCTCAGTTACAGAAGTTCTCCAATGTGTATGGAAGTTTACAGAATAACAAACAGAGCAGAAAAAGTTATTTTCTTTGTTTAATCATTCCTCCCCTCCTCAAGAAAGAACTATGCCTCACTGCTCCCGATATTGACAATTTATTCAAAATTTATAGCTATTCAAGGCTGCATTTTTTGCATAATTTAAAGAATACTTTTGGATCCTAAAATTACTTTGCCCAAGAAAAAGGTTTAACTATTTCAAACGGCACAGGAGTTAGCAATTTATAATATGTAAATTTTTCAGCAAGGAATTTAATACAAATAAAAGCACTGTATTCTACACTTTACAGAGGTTTAGTAACTTCAGACTTTTAGCACATTAGAAATGAATACCTAAACACGTTTTAAATTGTGGAAAAAGTGTCTATAATGAAAACAAAAACACAGAAACATTTAAAAAATCCTTTCTTTATTTTTCCAGTATATGAAAGGTAAACCAAAAACTGTTCCACTTGACAAGGAATTTTTTGGTCAGTACACAAGATGTTCATGCAAAAGAGGAAACTGATAAATTATACAAAAATTCTTCTCATTAATGGCAGCAGATTTTAAGTTTTATAGACAGAAAAGGTAAAGGTAATGATTTAAAATTATGAAATGAAAGAAAGCTGAGACAATGAGGGCATATGAAAAATATTACACATGAAAAAGCATACACATCAACTGTGTGCGTATGATGCAGCTAAATTTTTTTGCTAAATCTTTCACCAAACAAATGTTTATCATACAATTGACTTTTTACCAACTTTATATATATATTCTTTCTAAAGAGGCATTTCTGTGTGTTATTCTGAGAACAGATGAAAATGCACATTCCTTTTACATTTTTTAATGCAGAAAACTAATTTTTTACAATTATTTGACAACCAAATGGTCGGATAAAACATGCCAGAATGGGTAAATCAATTAATATGGCATGTGGAAATCAGACATGACTACAATATAAAACAATTATCTCATCGATGCCGCAAGAATTTTAAAACCACACAAATAAATTACATGCAAGCAGACAGGAGAATGTACTTTTTTCTATAGGTGGCACTTACTCTTAGAGTACCTGTTTTAAAACTATAAGACAAAATTAACAGAATGTATTTAAAAACCTTTCCTCCCATAAATAAATGTATTTTCTTTACCAAGCTCTTAAAATTCTTGTTTCCAAATTCAAAAATCAATGAGTGACATTTTACCTGTTTTTTTTCCTTGATTATAAATAACTAATTTTTATTACTTTGAAAATTGAATTAGTTTTAAACATGCCTCACTTTTTACACTAACGTCAGATAAACATTGCTTATTTGAAAACTTTAAATGCTCAATGTTCTTTTTCTTAGAATGCATATTTTTTGGTTTAACCTTATTGTTTTATCCGACCCCTCAAGCTGAATTAAAGAGAAAAATTTTGAATTCTTCTTTTAGGACATAAAAAGTGTTAATACATATGAATGATAACACACAGACATGCAACTAAAAATTTAGCAAACAAAATTTATTTGATTGCATGTAAAATCTATACATATGCACACACAGTTTAGATAATCTGTATGCTTGGATGACTTAAGGACCATGCTAACTGCAGCCAGTTTAAGATGTTTCACATGAAGATCTTGTGCGTCCCTAAGATAAATAACAAAAAAGAATTATTAGGAATGATTATAATTACTATAAATTTAAACATATTACAAAAAAAAAAAAGAGCCATACTTTAGAGCTTATGTTTAAATTCTTTCAGATATGAAAATATCAATAAGGAAAAAGTAATGCTTAATGCATATGAAAATGACACTGACATAAATAGAATACTGAAAAATGTAAAAGTTTTGAACAGTCAATACTGAAGTAAACATGAAAGACAACATGGTTGTTCAAAATTTTAAGCTCTGTGGCTGAAATGCAAGAGACAGCACTTAAAAATGTGCTAAAGGAACAAATGGAATAAAAGAAAATATCACAGAACAAAATATATTGCGTAAAGGAAACAGCAACAACATTTTAATACTATCACACTTGGAATATGCTAATAAACAAATTAAATTTTATGCATAAACAAACATAAGTGAAGGAAAAGCCACAAGCACAAAATCTAATTAATATTCAAAACAATAACTTATGCTAAGTGGTGGGTTTTATTAATTTTTTTCTCTAGTAACATCCATTTTGATTGGAATTGGGATGGGCAGTTTGATTGTAATTGTATCCCATATCCCGATATGTAGCACTTTGTGGGGGAGGCACAGGGGCATTACTATAATGAGAAGCATTTTTAGGTGTTTGCAAACCAATTTGCCCCTGATTCGGTTTGAATGAATTTGTAGCATCATATCCAGATTCTTTAAATCTATTTCCATAATTACGATTTTGTGTAGCATCAAATCCAGATTCTTTAAATCTATTTCCATAATTCTGGTTTTGAACACCACGAGTACCATAAGAATGCAGACCAATATTTTTAAATTCATGATTAGTGCCAAATTTTGCAGAATCATTCCTATTGTTGAATTCACGACCAGTGTTACCTTTTACCCCAGAATTTCCAAATTTGTTGTC